GGCTTCGGGACTACGAGGCTTTGGAGTTTCGAAGCTTCTGAGTTCCGAGGCTTCAGGGCTCTGAGGCTTCGGAGCTTCAAGGCTTCGGTGCTCCGAGGTTTCGGGGCTTCGAGGCATCGAGATGAGATACGCTTCGTGGATTCCCTCTGTCAATAGCGGAGTTGTGTGCGAGGGATTATCAATGCATTCAAGCTGAGTTCAATAGAGAGATGCCGGAAATATTTCGTTCACTTTTGTTCTTGTTGAATGGGTTAGCGTGTATTCAAATGTATGCGCAAACTTATGTGTATATATATAAATAGATGGATGGATATTAATATATATATATATATATACAGGTATATGTATATAAATACATACACATATATATATATATATATATATATATATATATATATATATATATATATATATATTTATATATATATATATGTATGTATGCACACACACAAACACACACACACGCAAACACAGACACACACACATACACACACATATATATACTGGCACGTAGCATACACTATCTAGTTGCTTATGATCCATTAACAATAATATACAACAGATTCAGCATAATGTCGAAGGAAGGGAATAATAAGATTTCGTTAAACTTTTTATGGTGACGGCATCAGTTTGGCTAAAAGGTTGTCGGTGATACAGCCTTTCGGTTAAAAGCCCGTTGGCCAAAAAGGAGTAACAGGGAAAATTCCGACGAACGCGGATAATTTTTATTAAATCTTTATAGTGAAATGAAGTGAAAATGAGATTTAAAAAAAAATCGATTAACTACTGTGAATCTTTTTTATGAGCCTTTTCAGTTTTCTGTCTTACTCCGAATTCATATACATCATGAATTATGCTACTTTTATCTCTCATCGAATCTAACTCTATTTCAGCCACTTACCTCTACTTGCTCCATGTATATGTGATATTTCATGTCAGTCATTGTAGAAATTGCATCAAAGCTCGCTCCTCAGTCTGCAAAAAAGGATCTTAATGAAATCTTCTTCTCCCCTTCCTTCTGTTCGCGTTACACCTAGTGAATGGAAGCTTTATTGGCATATCTCGAAGCTTCAGACCTTTTATGATTTACAGTCATCAAAAATAATGAAATTCGACCATGCTAAGAAGTATAACTCAATATTCTATGAAATTCAGAATCCTATCTCATACTGAAAGCCGCTGAAACGAGGATAGCCATAAAAAGCACAAAACTACAATTGTCTAAAGCAATTTGCAACAACATGATATTCAGCAAACTGCTGGAAACCGGCTTGAAAACTGGAACAGCAATAACGCTTTTATTCGCTTTTTAACTTTTTTTAAAATGCAAGTTCAACTTTGCAACTGTTCCTGGAGGCACTGAATTTAAGCAGGAAAGTGTATGAAGAGTTTCAATGAAGGTAGTGGGCGTGTTTTGTTTACATTGTATTTCAAAAGGTCATGTTTCATCTCTGCTAATAGCGGGAAAGATTATTGTTAACATGTTTACGATAAGTTAGTCTCGTTATTGTTATTTTTTACTATGATTTATTCATTCCTCTATCTATTCATCAGAGTCATCAATATTATATCATTATACATGTTAACATAATCTTAGGTCAGCATAGATACATTTACGTATTAGAACTTTTATTAGCAAATACACACTAGACCCACTTGTGATCTGGAGGGATGAAAGAAGGGAAAGAGAGAGAGAGAGAGAGAGAGAGAGAGAGAGAGAGAGAGAGAGAGAGAGAGAGAAGACAGACAGAGAAAAGACAAACAGAATGAGGAGAGAGGAGACCGCCAAGGGATAGCGTGTCCGTAGACCCCCCCAAATCCCCCACCCCCAGGAGGCAAAGAAGGAAAGACCAGAAAGCCGAAAGAGACATGGGGGAGAGAAAAACACACACACGCATACATCTTCCAGGCTACATGAGTGATGTGGTAGACAAACACACGCGAGAAAAGCTTCTGTAACAGCTCCTCTTTAAGGAAGCTTAAAGCAACAAAAGCATAAATGTCATGTTGTTCCTCGTGTATTCGCCACAGAGCTCAGGGAACGGCCGTTTACACTTTGGACCTCAGGTAGTCTGTGTTTACTCTCCTTTCTCCTCGCGTGAAAAAGGTAAGGAGGAGAACTAAAGAGAGAGACAGAGAGGGGAGAGGGAGAGAGGGGGGGGGAGGGGGGGGAGTGATGATGAGGGAGAGAAGAAGGAAGGAAAGGATAGTATGAGAGAAGGAAGGGTTAGAATGAGAGAGAGGCGAGGGGGAAGGAGAGAGAGCAGACAGGCCTGAGAGAGACACAGATTATGCAATCGCAGTTAATTTGTTTATTCCTCTTTCTTCCCCCCTTTCCTGGCGGACACCAGGGGACACGAAGAAAGAACGGGCGCGAGCATCTCCCTTAATTATCATTTCATATCGATAACCTCCCAAGCGCTCTCGACCGTGCCTCGTTCCGGAGCACTTAACATAATACCCCGTCTGCACAATACACACCTCACTGAGTCGTGTGTATCTATGCCCAGCGTCGCCATTCAGTCCAATTGCTATTACTTCACGAGGCAGATTGAGGTTAGTGAGGATAATGAGTGTGGAAATGGCATGTGGCCGCTGAATGCGAATGGTGATGGCGGGGTGATCAGGGCAGTAAATGTGGAAATGTGTTTGTGTGTATGTGAGTGTGTGTGTGTGAAAGAGAGAGAGAGAGAGAGAGAGAGAGAGAGAGAGAATGCGTGTGGGGGCCTGTGTATTTCTTTGTGTGTGTGTGTCTACGTGTGTGCGTGTATCGGTGTAAGTGTACGTATCCATCTGTGTCGTTCGAAGTCCATAAGTAAGCCGGCCATAATGCACTACGTCTTAGCCCATGATATACGTTGATGCTTCGCCAATATTCCATTACTACTCTCCCGCTGCAGCTCCGATACCAGAGCCAACAAGCAATACTATGTTAGAGTACGTCACCCCAGCCCTCCAACCACCCATCCGAAAAAAGAAAAAAAGAAAAAAAGGAAAAGAAAAAAAGACAAAAAAAGAAAGAAAACGGATTTACCTGACATGGGGGGATACGAAGCTAAAGTTATTGTTGTTATTTTGCAACGCATAACTTCTTTTCAGTTCTGCCGCCTCTTATATAAGCGATAATGATCCTCTGTTTTCCACCCACAGGGACATCAAGCCTGACAACTTGCTGTTAGACGAAGAAGGTGAGTTTATAATCTCAAAACACCTCATTTACACTGCTAATCGAAGCCATTATCATAGGGAGCTTGTAAATTACATCGAATATGAGACTTTTTTATCCATTCAAATCTTAGATAAACTGTACATGAAAGACATTATTATTTTTCTATTTCGTTTTGTTATTTTGTTCATTTTATCGAGATTCCGATTTGCATATAGATTATACCTTGGTGATTAAACTTGTGATCATGCAGAAAAATGTAATGGAATTCATTAGCTTTTAGGAAAACCTATTAGGTATAGTCTAATGAAGTTGTCTCTCAAACATACATGGCATATAGGCACGTACACACACAAGGATACGTGGAAGAAACGCACATGGAATACAGACATATCCATTATGCATACAAGATACACACACACACACACACACACACACACACACACACACACACACACACACACACACACACACACACACACACACACACACACACACATACACACACACACACACATACACACACACAAACAAACATACTCACACTTTCAGCTAAAGGAATTTACATGAAAATTTCGTTTTACATAATCAGTGTATTTCATTACAGTGAGAGCATGATAGTTCATGAGCTGTGTGGGTGTGTCTGTGCATGCTCTGTTATTGTTCCAACGTCCAAATGTTGCTGTTGATGACTGTGAATTATAATTTCGTTCATTATTGTGATTTGTATTAGGATACGAATTTTGGTAACGATTAAAAGGGAAAAGCAGAGAATGATGATGACAATGGCAAATAATAAAAGCATTCCAGTTGTAATGATTATAGTTTAAATTATAATGATAATGATGATAGTATAATAGTAATATGAATGATGATAATGATAATGCTAGGCAGTAAGTGTAAGAATATGAATACAGATAATGGTAAGGATAAGATGATGATCATCGAAACACATTTATACTGAAAATGATAATATGAACGAGAATAACAATGATAGTGATAACAATGGCAATGGTTAAATGCCAAGAGTGCTGTAAGATCTTTTTCTTGTATTTTTCATTATTATCATAATCTGTTTTCTCTTAAAAGCATTACTTCACTTATAGTTGTGGAGGTAACAATGAATATTGATATGATAAAATTGCAGCTGATAATAATTATAATCAATAGCCCTTTAGCTATTTTTATTACAATCAGCGTTTATTTCATCACCGTTTTAGTATTAGTGAAACTGAATACAATAGTAATAACACTGAAACAAGAACAGTGAAAGATAGAGGGCAAGAGAGGGAGAGAGAGAGAGAGAGAGAGAGAGAGAGAGAGAGAGAGAGAGAGAGAGAGAGAGAGAGAGAGAGAGAGAGAGAGAGAGAGAGAGAGAGAGAAAGCAATCACCATCACCTTGTTCATTTTCACCACCAATTATCTTCCTCACCATCTTCAGCTCTAATCTTGGCTCCCTTCCCTTGTGTGGACGTTAATATGCTCAAGATTAATGTGTTGTCTTCAATTACTACTGACATTCTCTATTACTCGACATCATATTTAATTACCATAAGCTATCTTGCGAAATGATTTCCTTCCCTTTGTCGGAATAACAGTAGTTGTAAATAACGTTTCCTTTTAGGTTGTAATTATTACCTTGTCTCTACTAATGTTATCTGGGAATAGAATTGTATACAAGGGACACGCACTTACACGCGAACACATACTCACAGGGAGAGAGAGAGAGAGAGAGAGAGAGAGAGAGAAAGAGAGAGAGAGAGAGAGAGAGAGAGAGAGAGAGAGAGAGAGAGAGAGAGAAAGAGAGAGAGAGAGAGAGAGAGAGAGAGAGAGA